GGGTTTTTCCAGAGCTAAGGGGGAAAGCCTATGAAAAAAGATTAAGGAAATCGGCCTGAGACACTGGAGGGCAGGATGGGCAGGGGAGACATGAAACGACAATAAAAACTGCTAATAAAAGGTGGGGCAAGGACAGGAACCAGGGGGGGACACGAAACCGGGCCACAATTGGGAAATTGAGACACAAAAAAGTCGAGGATATAGGAAATATTTTCTTCAGTCATAATTAAGGGAGTGGAATAGCCTGAAAAGACGTAGGAGGCAGGGAACCCAAAACATTTTAAGACGAGGTTTTAAAAAAGCTCATGGAGGGGGAAGGGGTCAGAGCAACCGTGAAGAGGCGGGGCCCGGAGCTAGGACTCGACCCTGCAACCACAAATAGGTGAGTACAAATAGGTGAGTACACACACACACACACACACACACACACACACACACACACACACACACACACACACACACACACACACACACACACACACACACACACACACACACACACACACACACACACACACACGACTGGTATCACAACACAGTGTATGATGTAGCAGCTACTGCTACATGACTGGTATCACAACACAGTGTATGATGTAGCAGCTACTGCTGCATGACTGGTATCACAACACAGTGTATGATGTAGCAGCTACTGCTGCATGACTGCTATCACAACACAGTGTATGATGTAGCAGCTACTGCTGCATGACTGGTATCACAACACAGTTGTATGATGTAGCAGCTACTGCTGCATGACTGGTATCACAACACAGTGTATGATGTAGCAGCTACTGCTGCATGACTGGTATCACAACACAGTGTATGATGTAGCAGCTACTGCTACATGACTGGTATCACAACACAGTGTATGATGTAGCAGCTACTGCTGCATGACTGTTATCACAACACAGTGTATGATGTAGCAGCTACTGCTACATGACTGGTATCACAACACAGTGTATGATGTAGCAGCTACTGCTGCATGACTGGTATCACAACACAGTGTATGATGTAGCAGCTACTGCTACATGACTGGTATCACAACACAGTGTATGATGTAGCAGCTACTGCTGCATGACTGGTATCACAACACAGTGTATGATGTAGCAGCTACTGCTACATGACTGGTATCACAACACAGTGTATGATGTAGCAGCTACTGCTGCATGACTGGTATCACAACACAGTGTATGATGTAGCAGCTACTGCTACATGACTGGTATCACAACACAGTGTATGATGTAGCAGCTACTGCTACATGACTGGCATCACAACACAGTGTATGATGTAGCAGCTACTGCTACAAGACTGGTATCACAACACAGTGTATGACGTAGCAGCTACGTCAGTACTTGTATAAGAGAAAGCATGAGCCTAGTGCTCCCCCCCACACACACAGTAACTAACACACACACACACACACACACACACACACACACACACACACACTGGATCTTGTGTTCACCCTGAGCAGTTCAGACATTGAGGACATCACTTACGAGAGGCCCCTTGGAGCTAGCGATCACGTGGTTCTGAGTTTTGATTATATAGTAGAGTTACAAGTGGAGAAGGTAACAGGAACTGAAGGGGACAGGCCAAACTATAAAAGGGGGGACTACACAGGTATGAGAAACTTCCTGCAGGAGGTTCAGTGGGACAGAGAAATGGTAGGAAAATCAGTAAACGAGATGATGGAATATGTGGCAACAAAGTGCAAGGAGGCAGAGGAAAGTTTTGTTCCCAAGGGAAACAGAAATAATATTCAAATTCAAATTCAAAGTTTATTCTCTATAAGGATTACAATGCTGAGTTTACAGAAATTTGGTTATTGTTTGGTTTACATGTAGTAAAATTGTGATTACAGAGTGTACCACTAGAACGCTTAGCATGGCTAGGCATTTCGGGCATACTTAGTTTTATTCTTAATTGTAAAATATTTACAAAT